CGAACACGATAATCTATTTAGTTCAAAAGATATAGCGTAAACTATTTTGTCAAAATTTGCCATTAAATCGCTTGTAATTTGATATCCGATGACGTCATGCTGACGTAACAAAATGTGTAACATCTTCGTAACATGGTACAAGTTCACACAAGGTTTTGTGATTGTACCGTAAAACTTTTGGAAGAAATTTTGCTTTGTTTTTATTTCAGGCTAACGTCTTCATTTTGAATTCATCTAACTTTGACCTTCCGGTAGACCCGGAAGTAAAGGTCAAGCGAGTTTACGTAGAGGACAAAACATTTTGAGCAATTAATGGTCTATCTCATTACAGAATACAAACATCATTGATTATTTAGTTCAAGAGTTATAAGTGAAAGTAATTGGTCACTTTTCCACCTAAAATCGCTTGTAATTTGACACCCGATGACGTAATCATCACGTCAAAGTAATATGCACCACTAAGGGTGAGGGTCGATATATATTGAAAGTTACAAGGTCCTATCATAAACTGTTCAGGAGAAAACCCGCGGAAACGTGCTGTACGGAAAAAAAAAAAGATTAATCGTAACAGATCCAAAGAGTGGTCGGGTTGTGCCCGACCACTCAATAATGACGATGAGAAATAATCACCGGGAATGGTTCCTATCCCAGCCGCGGCCGGCCCCGGCCGGCCCGGCGTGACACGTGCGGGCCAGCCCAAGCCGGCTACGCTGGCGAACTACGCGACCAAATTTTCCCTCAGCATTAAGAAAGCAACGCATTCGTGGAACGCTAAAATACTTGCTTTGTACTTGCTGATTGGTTTTGTCCTAAGAACAAACAGCTAGATCCCTTTTTACTACCAAACTTATAAAACTGTAATTATCAGCAACGAGTAGTGTAGTCAAAATCCAAATTTTTGTAGAGGAGTTCGTCACGTGCGGCCATCTTTGTGGACGGATCTATAGATACCGTAGGGGTGTTTTAGCTTTTCTTTGGACATCGTTTCTCGAATAAATCCTTTACGAAAATTATGTTCCGACGTTGAAGAACTTTTTTCAAACAGTAAAATGTTTCGAACTTGATAAAATGTATTATTTGTAATTTTGAAACAGTTGAAATGCTTGTAAAAATTGGCCTTAGGAAAGCACACCCAATACCGCAAAATGGTGTGGTCCACTGAGCGCTCTGTACGTGACATGTTGGTGACACGTACGTCCGTCGTACGGAGCGCTGTATCTACGCAGCACAAAACAGCACGTGCGTATTGCTTTCATAGCGAATGCGTGTACGTATTACGTTCATATGAATGGCGCAGCATCACGGTAGAATATCGTAGGTGGTACGTGCGGTAGGATCGTTGTTCATTTTTCGCTGTGCCGTACGGCCAGTGCGCAATGCTCAAAGTCGCTGCGCTTGTATACGAACAAACGGCAGATATTTTTTTCGCAACCAAAATTTATAGCGTAGCGGTAGCGTAGCGGCGCGATTTAAGCGTAGCGCTTATTTCCGAAAGCGTAGCGGGTGCTAGCGCTATTTGATGCCTGGCTAGAACACAGTTGCCCAGATACTTGACAATATAAGCAAATTTTTTCGATCCAGTCTGGACGAGGCACAAATAGCTGAATACTAACACTTGGGAAACTATTTAATATCTAATGGCAATTTGCAGCAAACAAATCGTCATAACGACATAGAAACTAGATGTCAATGGAAGCGGGAGTTGCCGTATGTGTAATGAAACATGTTGAGAAATGAGGGTGCTTCCAGACATTTTGTACTGATGGGGCAGAAAGTATACGCATGTACATGTACAAAGGTTGATCAGTTTTAGGCCAACTAAAAAACAACAGCTGATTGTCCCCGCCCGCATCCTTTTTTTGAAGCCGCATCCTTTTATTTTTTTACTTTTTATTTCTCACCTCAAAAAGCTAAATTTGTCTTGTATTTCGCTTTAATAAAATACATAGAACATATGTAACATGAATATTTTGACTCTACTAGGATAGCTAATTAAAAGCTGGCGGTCATTTTCAACCGAACTTGGCGGCCATTTCGAATTTAAATACTTGGCGGCCATCTTGCATGTCTTGCAAAAACATTAAAAATGAAAAATGCCCTCATCCTGCTCTTTTTAAAAAACCCGGACGATCAACTTTTTTTTTTACCTGGCCTTACCTTTGGGTACGGGTGGCATTAGGCATTTGGGACTATAAAGATGGCCAAGTATTTGGTTAACATCCCGGAATATTGAATCATTTTATTTTTCGAATTAAAAATCGGGAGTGTGTGAACCTAACATTAGGTTTGAACATTCGAACACCCTGCCATGTCTGTGCTCCCCCTGCAGGTCATTTATTTGAATTATTATTCTCAACTTAACACCATCCTGGCAAGCAAAAACTTACCGTTCCTGCAGTCTGTCCAATATTCAGTACATGAATGGATGGGAATTGACCACAACTGGTAATGTAGCTCATCCGTTAAGAAGAGTGATCTATATCTAACGAAAATTATGGCTGGAATTCATCAACCATTACCTTTCCGTCTGAAAAGGACCGGACTCCAAAACTGAGGCGTGGCGGAAGAAAACAGAATTGGTTGGTATCCACACCGTGGCAATGAACGGTGCGCACATTGGGCGTCGTGTGTACCAGTGATGGTATTGCACATCATGGAAATTCCCACTTTGGTCTATTTTTTGGGGGACATATTACGCATTTTACGGTTCATAGAAAGATAACAGTACATGCAATGTCACACTGTTTGTCAAAGATGGGAAAATAATACTGGTGAGCATGTAGTGCACTGACCAACAAAAAACACCTGACGTATATGATTTAAAATGTACCATGGTGAGGATAGACGTGATCCCTAACCCTTTTAACTTGATAGTTTAACTCTCTATAGGTAAACTTAAAAATTTGGGGCAATAATAGCCTTGGTTGAGGCTCTCGTCGTTATTCGTCCGTATACGCGGTAATCAGTCAGCGGCATATCCTTGCGCGCTATGCCACTATTTTATGCAAATCAATTGGACCGGGTCCAACTGATTTGCATAAAAAAGTGGCCGCACGAGGTCGCTGTTCGCGCTGTATTTTTTACATGCGCGAAGATATGTACATGCATGTACATGTATATGCCGCCTATTGATTACCGCGTACGGGACGAATAACGAGGAGAGCTTTGACCTTGGCTAAGGCATAAGGTCACGATATACACACTGATAGCAAAACAAAAGCCAAAATAACTGCCAGAATTAAGAATGCGCTGTTGGAAGAATTATGTGCTGTCACTGCAGACAGTGCCTTAAATGGGCGTGTCAGATAATGTTGTTACATAAAATGGTACATAATAATTATGTCCACGAATGATTGATCATTCTAGAGATTTTAATTATTAACATAAAGCCACACACCTTCTTTTTCCAAGTTTGACTGATTCAGTGGCAAAGTGAGCCGCCAAAAAAAGTGCGCATGGAGGATCATTTTTTTATGATTAAATCAATCATATGAAAGATATTTTTGTTTACTCATTAAAATAAAAACCACCTAATGCAAACTGTGAACTGAAAACTAATGCTTTTTATATGTCATAGGTAGTTTGTGATGAAAAACAAAATGATTAATAATCTATGGACCAATATGATGTACCGGTATCATTGTAAGCAACAACATCTCCATCAGGCCAATCCCTTTACAGACTATCCACAGCTGCGACATTGCATTTTTCTGACAGCTTCACACACCACATAATATACATGTATTTAAGCAAACTTTGAAAAAAAAGGAGTTTTATGGCCTTTGTTTTGCAAGCAATATGTGCTCAGTCACCTGTGACTAGCCTATGGTATCAATCGAAAGCTAATGAATTAACCTATCAGATGAAAACACTTTGACTTTCTACAACTTTCTAACCTTGTGGGCAGATTGATTTTGGATTACCTTTTTCATACACCCTGTATATCACACATCATTGGACATCTAATTTTCTTAAAGATTATACAAAGACACATACACTGATCCCAACATTTTACGTTGGACAAAAACACGCAAGTTTCAAACTTTCCAAACGAATTATATACTATATATATATATATATTTTTACACATTCCATATATATCTGTAAGAGTATGGTCTTAGTGTCAAAAAGTCTTTTTGACCTATCCGAACTTTAAAGCGATATGAGCCGATATATTGAAAACAGAAAAAAGGTGTCAAACATAGTTTGCAAATAACTGGAAAATAATATTGTATATATTGCAAAGTTAGCGGTTATTTACTTATTTAGAGATAGTTACAAATTTGGAACTTAACCATATAACACAAATACTGCGAAAAGACTGATGAGATGCTCCCCCAATAAAACCAATGCGAAAAGGCGCAAACTTCAATATGAAGCTCTAAAACTATTTTTTGTTTAAATGTCATCAAATTCAATTGAAACAATTATTTTGTAACAAAACTAAACTTCACGCTGTCAATTATATTTTTTCCCGCGGGCAAAGTTGCAGACAACTGATCCTGATAAGTACAAAACAGATTAATTATAGTTTTGCAGCAAGTTGTTTGCTCAATTTCAGTTTTCATTGCACCTTGAAGCGTCATATTGAAACATCATGATTTTTTTGGAGTTTTTTTTCTTCAGTACATCAGTATACTTTTAGCAGTTATATGAGCACTTGTCTTTTAGCATGCTTTTTTTACTATAATATTTTAAGTGACACAGTGTAGCTTGTGTAGATGAGACAGAGCCTCACTTTTGCAATTCTCGTCTGTTAACTGAAAGAAAAAAATATATGCTTTGCAATGCGAGATTTGGATATATTTGGTATGGTATATGCACAAGCCAATCACAAAATCTTGTTCCACTGGTTTAACTTCAGACTTGTTTGCATGATTTAAATTTATATTTCACACAATGCTATTAAAATTTATCATAATTATTATATATACTATATAATTTTTTTTTTTTTTTAATAAATGCACATTAAAACACGCAAACTTTACTGGATTGTTTTCATGAAAAAATATAGCTCTATTTGGCAAACAATCATTCTGCAATTTCGTTGATCCATGATTTCAGAGGCTGAGCAAATTAACAAAAAAAGGCATACACGTGCTTTGCTTTGCATAGAAATGAAACATAAGGTTAAAGAGGCAGTGGAAACATAAGACAAATATATTTGCTGCAATTTATGTTAAAAACATCACTGACATATAAAGTCACAGAGACGATGTCAACAAAATATAACTGTACGTTGATTCAGAGTTAAAACCCATGCTGATCGTATTAAAAAGGAAGTAAAAAGCAATAACAGGCAATTTTCAAATTTTAAAAGATAACTATGTCGTATATCTTAGAATACTTGGGTTTGGCAGGAATCGGAAATGGCTTCACTCTTAACCTTGCACGACCTGAAAACCTGTCTCCTCCCACTCTACGGGGTATGTGACGCCGCCCATCTCATCGATGACCTTGACGCTCTGAGCGTTCAGGTCGTATCCCTCCTGTGGCTGCAGAGTCAGGGATTTCGGCATGATGCCTAACTGGTTGCCACAGTAAAAAGTGCCGCATGTTATGAGACCTGCATTCACCAAACAGACACAAATTGTTCATTTCATCATTCAGTCATATGAAGGATGCAAGCCAGTACCTGTACTTGGATAAACCACACTGATGTGCTAACCATATCGAAACAATTTCTCACAGCTCATGCATCTTGTAATACTGCTTTTAATTTTGATCTGTTAGTGGCAGTTTCTCTAGATATCCATGATGGGCGCAAGCCTGCTCAGTTCCTGTACTGGAATATACCACTGTGCGAGCCACATCGAAACAATTTCTCAACTCATCTTGGAATGCTGTTTTTTTTATCTGTATGTCAGTATCTCTATGGAACTCATATAAGATTCTTTAATACATGGTTCCCATCCCTGAGGTTTCCCTTAGAAATGTCCAAAATTCCATGACAAATATTTTCACTTTGACATGTTCTAACACGACGTCAAGATGTGGTTGCAGCAAAGCAACACTATGCCAAACTGGCGAAAATACTTCCCTGCAGGTTCACTGTAAAATCCCCCGAGTTTCCTCTTTTTTGGGGGGTGTTTCCCCGCCCCCCCCAATTTCCCGTAGAGTTTCCCACAAATTGAAAAGGGGAAACTTTTTGCCTGATTCCCAAGTTTCCCTGATTCCCAGTGTGGCTGGTGACCTGGAAACAGTGGCAAAATTTGGCACATTATAGTAATCAGCAAGTCCTACTCACCAACTGTGTCGCTGTTCCGGTTACGCTGCAGTGTGCTGTACCTCACCTTCTCCACCCATCTGTTTACCTCTGGATTAGTACAGGTCACGGGACCAGCATCCCCCTTTCGTCTGAGCTCTGACGCCTTGCAGACGAGAGCGGAGCACTCCTTGCAGTGTATGGTGATTTTGTCGAGATTGGTCATGGGCTGCTGTTCTGCCCCTTCCTCTGCCGTCTGTGTCTTCTCCAATATATCATTCTGTGTAAAAAAAAAAACAATATTTGAAAATGTCACTTGGAGTTATCATTCCGATGGTGTCGACCTTGACCACCTGGGGGTCAGGGGGGCTGTGGCATATATAGACTATAGTACTAGTAGTTGTGACTTCTAACTCACGGACAGAGGTTAAGGGTTCGAATCCAGCTGCTGCATATTTGTTGGGCAGGCCACTGTACCCCTACTTGCCTCTCTCAGCCCAGCTGAGTACAAACGGGTACTGTGCATGTAATGAACTGGTATCCCATCCAGGGGAAATAGAATGTTCTCAATCGTTTTATATGCCAAGAGATTTGATTGGTCTGATGGGCCACATTGGAGTCTTTAATGGAAATGCTAAAGATTGTTACTTGATATTTCAATCTTGTGAATTGAATATTGCAAGCTGTCGTCCACATACTCAGTCAAACTGCTTCCCTGTAAAAGATACCCTCATCACACCTATGTAACATGAGTATATTGTACAATGCCATAAAATGATTTGCACAGAGCCTAAAAACTCCAAGACTTAGCTCACTTGTTTCTCTTGGATCCTGTCGAGTCGCTGAGCCTCATTCATTGCCTCCAGTTCTTTCATGGGCTCCATCTTCTTAACTTTACGACGGTTGTTGCATCCTTTCTTCTCAGATCGATTCTTCAAGGGCCAAGTCATCGATCCCAGATCCTGATGCGAAAATGACATCCCACATGGATTGCTTCCTTGGGAACCTGTCATCACCGCTGTGGATGGAGTTGGTAAGCCTCCATCCTGGCCAGTGCCTGATTGTGATGATGGGCTTATTGGTCCCACTTGCATGGGTGAATGATTCTCGCTGTCATCATCATCTGGACATCCAGGACTTTTACCTGCTTTCAATGATTGGTCTGACTTCTGCAGAGACATTTTCTCCATCATCCTGTCGACACTGCTTCCCTGGACCAAATTAACAGAGTTTTCCTTCTCGGCACTTCCGAAGCCAGATCCTGGACTTGAAACGCTAGCAGACCCAGCAAACTTTTCTCCATGATATGAAGATGCCCGGACTTTGGGATAAGCAGCCACGTGCGAGGATTGCTTATTCTGAAGGCTGGCTGATCTTGGAAGTGGCCTCTCCTGCGTTGACTGACCATCTCCAGAAGGTGAAATAGGAGAACCATCAACACTGTAGGGTCTTCTCTTGGTGTTACTTTGGCCAGCAGGAGATTGCCCACCAGAAGGAGATGGCCCACCAGGAATACTGCTCAGAGTCTTAGGACCCTCCTGTTTAACTGGTGGGGAAGTGGGAGTAAAATGATCTGGATGTAAAAGACAAGAACAAGCACCAAAGATATAATCTCACAGAAAATATGCATTTTAGAAAACAAATCAAACATATTCTTACGTACCAGGGTTCATTCTCTGCTGAAACGTCTTCTTCAAGTCATCGCTTTTAAGTTGGGTGAGAAATGATAGCACAAATTTGTACTTCGTTTCAGAAATTATCCCTCGGCTTTCAAGAGTCTCGAAAACATCCAAAGCATCAGCATTTTCTTTCACAGATTTAGGCAAATATTCTTTCCATAAATATTTTATCTGTTTAACTTCCTTATCTTCCAAATTATTGGCTATGTAATTGAGGGCTGAACGAAAAGATGGTATCCGTACAGTATCATTATAATGACTGGCCGCCATAACTGATTCTTAAAAGTGTGCTTTTTTGGGGGGTATATTTATTGTGAGTGTTCTTTAACCACAAATTATGAACCTATAAAGTTAAGTCGCGTGGATGCAAAAACAAGGACAAGCTCATCACAGTAAAGATCAAAATTTCCTTCTCGCTCAACCAAGATGGAAGTGTTCCATAAGCCTTAAAGTACAGTTTCAGGACAGATCTGAAAATAAAAAAAGAAAAGAAAAATTATGACAATGATTAAATCCAATGCAAATAATTAGTCAGTAAGACAACTTTGATGGAATTCGTCAGAGAAATGCTGATATCAAAATTGGGTTCACATGCTAGGTTCAGAACAATACATAATTGTGATTTAATCTTTAAACAAAATGTTCGACTCTCCAGCCTACTATTAGTAGTACTAAGGTTGTTCTCTATGAATCCAGATCTTAGTTCAACTTGCATACAGTGCTCAAAACATCTTGTTATCATGTAGCCTCTTATCAACTTTACTGCCACAAAAACACATTCTGGCGATCTGTCGATCCAGTCTGGGAAAGATTTCCATATACGAAGTTCACTAATTTTCCTCTGTATCGACTTACAAGCCCCCAGATAGCAATTTCATGTCATCAAAGTCAATTTGAGCAGTGAGAAAATACAAGCATTTTCTTAGGAAACACTTAGAATTTTTCAGTCCAATCTCATAGGGTTTGTACACAGGGTGTTAAGTGAACTTCGTATATGGAAATCCTTCCAACAAATCTATAATTCCTGTAGAAATGACATGGAATCTAAAATTGACGTATTTGTATTGAAAAGGTATTTGTACAAGAAAATAAACTACTGGCACACGAAACAGCCAGCCCAACACCGCCTCAGTACAGCATCAATCAACTGTGTCAAAAGAAACACCTTGCATGTTTGGTACTAGTCTATTTCTACACATTTTGCCACAGTCAGCCACCAGACTAATGAGACAATGAAACTGAAAGAAGAGGTCAGTCTTTTCAAACAGTTGGGCCATAGTTTGACATAATGGGGAAAAAATGTTGCAACCTGACGTCACTTCCGCGATTGTGTACAAAGTCTATGGAGGGTCAAAAAAATTGTTTAAGTATATCCTAACAAAATTGGAAATATTTCTCAGTCCCAGATTCATGTCTTACAACGAATGACCTTCATCGAGATGATATATGAAGAAAAAAGAGTGGCGTCAGGTTGCAACATTGTTTTCCACATAATGTAACAGTCTAGTCCTTAGCCCCTTTTGAAATCACTTGATGAGCTCTCTCTCAACAAAAACCGCCCATGAGCAAAAATTTAGGAAAGGTCTCCTTCAAAAATTGAAATGAGTCTTCAAACTTGGTTGGTGAAACAGTCATGACAGTGAGGACTTACGGTGTTCGCCTCATGAAGGTTTTTTATTTTGTCATGTTTGTTTTGCATGTTTCTCACCAATCTTTTACAGTTTTACCTACGTATGCCTAGGCTATAAAGATATACAGGTGTTGCAAAGTATTTGGTTCCCACTCATTAAGGATTATAATCAATCCAAGACTAGTGGTACAGTTTGGCAAGAAGCGACACTGCACTAGCACTGCACTGCAGTCACACCATCATGTACATGTACATTGCTGTTGTGCCATGAATTGGTTTGAGAATTCGAACGCTCTGCATCTGTTAGCCCCATAAATGTGGCCAATTTACTGGACTACATTTGTACCTCCGTAAATAAAGGCCACACTGCCACCATGTACAAAAACATGTCGAACTTTGTCAAATTTTTATTAGTGGCTTAGTTTGTAGTTTATTTTTGCTTTAGAAGCATACACACCCTCTTTATAGGCTAATCAGAAAGTGCTGATGTCACTCTAATTTTCGTGTAATTTCATGTTGAAATTTTGATACGCAAATGTGTGCAAACGAATGGAAATTTCACGAAAAATTGCAAAAATAAACTACAAACTAAGCCTAAATGTGAAAATCCAAATTTGACAAAGTTCCACATGTTTTTGTACATGGTGGAAGTGTGGCCTTTATTTACGGAGGTAGTCCAGTAAATCGGCCACATTTGTGGGGCTATGCATCTGCAGGCTAGCCTCCAGTCTGGGTTAGGGCGATAATTTTCATCTTTACATCATCCTGATCAGCAAAAACTTACCACGTCTGCCCAGTATTTAGTACTTGGAGGGGAGTTGACCACAAGAGATCTAGCTCGGTTAAAAATAAAGAGAAATCCAACTGACTCAGATATCATGGCCGTAAAGCGGAAGTATTAAAAACACCCAATATTCCCTGATCTTGGGCAGGTATAACTGGTTCCCCGTTCCTATATCCATTGTAATTGGCAATACAAATGTTCAAATGTTGGAGCGGGAACCAGTCTGTACCCCCTGGTATCCGCGCGCACCGTGTCACTTCAGCCCACACCCATAGTACCAGTCAGTGAGAGTATAATGCCCATTGGGGACTCCCCCTTGATCTAAAAATAGGATCATTACTCATTTCTTTGAGCGAGAGGCAGGGCGCCTGCATCAATGGCGAATAACACTGCAAGCACACCACGATAGCACGCCTGGTAATTTAGAATAAAATGCGTGACGTCATGAACAAGTCCGGCAAAAAAAAAAGAGCGAATGAAAATAATATTTTCGCCTCGCTCTACTGCGCAAGGCCGCTGTGCAACTCCCACAAGTATTCATTAGCCGAGCCGTTAACCCTAGGTACGCCACTGTATCTATAACAATAAAGGACGCTTAAATACAAACCAATCGCAAGCTACCAGCACAAAATGGCAATTATTAAATATTCCAGCACAACATTAGTTATGAGCTTTATATACATGTAATGAGACATCGCATGAGACAATCGGTCGGCAATAAATACTTCATTTTATTCAACTGTTGACAGCAAGACCTTCCTAATCGGTGCGCAATTTAAAACAACATTTAAACGTTGTGAATCCCAGCATAAACATAAACCTCCACAATATCAGCGATTTCAATATCACCATCTCCCCTCTATAACAAAAACCATTTCTCCCCGTCCCTGGAAATATTTCTCCCCATCCCCGGAAATATTTGTGACATGGTTGCCGGGTTGTACGGAAATTGGGCGTTCCGACTAGCACCCTTCACCCTAGCTAGCCCCTTCCCCTATATTGACAATATGTCCTGGACCCTCGCACAATCTCCGCAGGAAACGTTATGTGCGCAAACGTTGCTAAACGCAAATACAACTTAGGTGAGACTGATGGCGAGTCCAAATAGGCTCGCGTGCAGCAGAGCGTCTGATTCTTTATTTGACTTAACAGTTGTTTGGAGTTATTGGAGTTTAAATTATCGAGATTCCACTGTATACAGTAATTATTACGAAACAGTCAACTCCAACCATCTAGCGGGAAATTCCCCCATTAGTCTTAGACCTATTACGCATTTCTTTGAGCGAGAGGGCGCCAGTGTCGATGAGGAATAACACTGCATGCACGCCCAGCATGTATACAACACACTTGATTAAATAAGAATAAAATACAATGGCACAACTTGGGACATCACGCACCAGTCCGTAAAAAAGCAACGCAATTGCGACAATGTGATGATTTTTTTTTAATTATTAATTCCGTGACTCGCGATCAGTTCCGATAGATTGCCAACTGAAATGGGCCGCTGTGCCAACTTCCCAACTATATTTATAAATAAGCTGAGCCGTCTAAAAGTTTACTTCGTTTTATTTCGGCAGTTTTTGGAATTGGGTAGGTAGAATATATCGTTTGACATTTGAACATTTTGTTTGTTTGAAGCAACAAAAGTGCTCAGAATCTATTAAAAAAAAGGGTGCTTAGCAACTAACCTATAATGAAGTTAAATGCTGCATATTCCGAGAAAACAATATTCTAGGATGTCAATTAGTCTTGGACAATGGAAATCTAATCCTTAAAGGTGCGTTATACAAAGACAATGTTATATACATGTACTGTTCCTTTTAAGGACGAAATTTTATGTTATACAAATTTATTTTGAAGTATTTCAAACCGTTCCGAACGAATATAATTTTTACACATTCTCTAGATCTGCATGAGCATAGTCGGCATATTTTCAACAAAACCTATTGAGCCATCTAAACTTGAAAGTGATATTAGCTGATTGGATGAAAACTGACCAAATGGTGGCAAACATGGGTTTTGCAAATAACTTAGAAACAAAAATACTTTGAAACTTTAGCAGTTATTTACATCAGCTAGTTATAAATGTGGAAGTAAACCATAAAACGAACAATATTGCCGTATAAAAAGTCCACAACACACAAAATGAGATGCTCCCCCATAAAAATAATGTCAAAAAATGCCAACCTCCTTAAAGCTCCATTACAAAATGTTTCTTTTATGTTAACCACATTACATTTCATTAAGATATATTTTTTTTATAAAAAAGTCAGATCTTCAACAGCTAGCTTATAAGTTAAGATTCCCTCCAGTCCTGGGCGCAGTGCGTGCCATGTGCGGCACTGCTTCAGTACATCAAAATGGCTGCCATGCCCTGTGTTTGGACTAGCCGTACTTCATCTTGTCTTGCGGAGAATTCCCAAAAAGTTACCCCTTTATCTTCTCACAGTAATATCACGGTGATTTTACAAGGCTTCAGAAATACTGGCATATGACCCCTTGTGCGCGTGAGTACTGTTGACCTTCCTTCGTTCAAAGTGTTTGAGAAAATTTGTCGGTTTTTCATTAATAATTAGCAAGTTTATGCATTGTCATTATGCTGTGTTATAACTGTTTTAAACAAGTAGTCTAGAGACGTTGTCGTAGAAGTTAGGACAATCAAGTCTTCTCTCGACTAAGAAGCACCAATACAAACAGCTCTGGCAGTCAAAATATATATGTGACCCTAGCTGGTCGGGGTCAACACTGAATTGGGAAGAGGACACGGCAACTATGTTCTGAAGGTTTATTTCTGAAAAACACGAAAAGGAAAGACGTTATAAAATGGACGTGTCTTCCCTGGTCTCCAGTCAGAATTTGAATGACACTACAGAAAGTATTAAGGGAAAACATTAAAGGACATTAAAGATAATAACTAGGACTAAATTAATCAATCAAAACTATACATTGTCACATTTTGAGTTCAATAAAGAGAATCCTAAAGTACAAAGAAAGCGTGAATAAGTGTCAACTTTGTGACTCAGTTAGTAAAGGACGGTCTGGTCCTAAAAATCACTAACGTATTAATTTATAAAATACATATACCGACTGGAATTATGGAATGTATTACAATATAATCAATCACGTAAACGGATGGCTAAAGGATGACTACATATATATATAAATGTTTTATTCGGTTTTAAATTCATCTCAAACTCAAAATCATTTCACTCACATGAAGTCATTTCTCTAAGGCTCATGCCAGACCCAGACTTCCTTGAAAGCGAATTGCCGGCGAATTCCTAGAAGCTACAAATGGACTCGGTGGATCTTTTGAAAATTCACATAAAACATCACCCGTACCGTGTGCAAGGGCGGGTCCGGGGGGAGGGGAGCAACGAGGCCCAGCCCCCTCCCACCAAAAATGAATCTAATTTTTTGGAACCCAAAGCCGTAATTTTGGGGACCCACTTTTTGGGGGACCATTTTTTTTTGGCACCCCCAAATTGTGTTCTGATCCACCCTTGCCCGTGTGATTAAAATACTGACGAAAAAAAAATGAAATATCAATCTCCCCGCAATTAAATGTCCCAAATAATTAAGTACAACTATAAATTTATCATAGTACACGATTTTAAAGTACAAGACGAATTGCAAGTTTAGGTCGAACAAAGAAGTTGACTCAAGCGGGAATCGAACCAGGAACCGCCGGAAGACTCGCATCTCCTAGCAAAAATTACAATACATGTAAGTATGTAAGAGCTCAACTGGAGGTTGCTGGTTCAAATTTTGTTCCAGCCGCTTTTCTCGATTCGATTCAATTCAATTCACTTCAAATAGACAATTATTTCCATATACAAGAAGTAAACAAATAATATCTGAATAATGATAAATATAGACAGAGATACATTCAGAGGTAGAACTTACATAGACCTTCAATCTAATAATGTACAATGTGAATCAAGTACATATACATGTGCTGTTCCCTTATTTATAATTGAATGGTTCAAATCACAATGTGTTCGAATATGATCCGTAAGGCCAAAAAAAAGTATCCGGTTTCTGGTATGGAGCTTGCCCAAAAAGTGGTGCGGCGACGCGGCTTTAACCCGCCTTTTTTGCTTCAAATGTCGGCTGATGACTGCAAATGGTGCCCAACTAAACTTAGTACAAATAGGCCTATATGGGATTGGGAGTCCAGAGAGGCCACATAAAGCTTATTCTCGACCATGACCCCATCTAAAAACACGTTAAAAATGTGCAGCAGCAGGATTCCAGTCAAACCAGTGAGTTTGGCGGTTTTGAGACATCATCTTTCATTGAAAAAAAAAAAAAATCATTTTGCCGACGCGCATGGCTACAGCGACGTGCGCGCATACCAGAAACCGGAGACTTTTATTTTTGGCCCAAGACTAAAAAAAAAGTCGTTTTTTTTTCAAATGGAAAATGATGTCCCCAAACCACCAAACTCACTGATTTGACTGGAATCCTTCTGCTGCACAATTTTAACGTGTTATTTGATGGGGCTACGATGAGTATAAACTTTATGTGGCCACTCTGGGCTCCCATACATTTTGCACTAAATTTAGTTGGCCATCATTTGCAGGCATCAGCCGACATTTGAAGGGAAAAAAAGTCAAAAAAAAAAAAAAAAAGCCGCGTCGCCGCACCAATTTTGGAACAAGTTCCATACCAGAAACCGGAGACTATTTTTGTTTGGCCTAAGTTTAGTTTGCAATACTTGACTTGCATCCACGGAAGGAATTCACTCATCATATTCCTGTTACTTTTATAGGAAAACATTTTGTTGAACAAACTACAAAATAAGATTATAAGGCTAAATAAAGTGTCTGCACCGTCATATTTCATTCGTTGCTACGAATATACTGTTGGGCTAACACAAAATATTAAATCAAACTAAATCAAAAACAAATATTAACAACTAATGTAATATGTACAGAGTCTACATGAACATATTCCATTATATGGGTAAACAAAATATATCTACCCAAAAAAAATACGGATAAGGTTGGACCAAAATCCTGTCCTCTGAACCAGCAGAGGATGCTTTAAGTAAGGCGTATTTTTCTATAAAGATTATCATTTATTACAGTACAGCATTTCTGCAAGGCGTTAAATGTATTGAATTTTAGATATAATAACTTGGATTTTTTTTTTTTTTTTAATCGGCAATTTTTTTTTACAGCTAATGGATGTACATGTAAATAAAGCAGAAAAGTCAGGTACAAAAAAATTCACCCACTTTAAAATGCAAACATAATCAGCATTGTACATATTTGCTATAAATTTCACTATCTTAAATTTCATTGAAATTATCGTGAAAAATCTTAACTTCATAATAAAAGCATATACTGTTCCAATAAATTTCCTTAAGGCAAAGTGGCTAACAGTTGATATTGATAAAAATTAAGTAAAGATTAAGTTTTGCAGCAAGTTGATAGCTCATTTTCAGTTTCTATTGCAACTTGTGTCTTGAATTGTTTGGGTAGTATTTTCCCCGAGTAATGTGGGATCATTCGAAATCATTCGCTCATACCCCCACCCTGCAAACAGGATGGGGCGGGGGTACGAGCGAACGCAGTGGATGTACCGGGAACCAGTCTAGGCTCTCTTCCATATGCGTGCACGCGCACGCGCACCCTTGGCCAATCCACTGCTGCAGTTTGTTTTGCCCGTAGCAACGAGTAGATGGTTTACTTTAGACTCTATAGTATTCCCGCGCCTGTATGCAAAGTAGTTCTTTAACCACTTTTCCAACAATAATATGATTTATACACATTTCGGTGGGAATCATTATCTACATTGCTTTGTAAATTATCTTGAATATTTTTAGTTTAATAAAAAAATCAAATTACTAGGTACGAATATTTGTGTATTTTACTGCGCAAGGATATATAAACTAGCTTTCCGTGTAATTCGGTTTCGCAGGCCGGATAAACTTCGCCGTCCTTTTCCCATCTGTGATATGGAGCACACAATTTTTCGGGCGGCAATACACATCAGAAAACCTGAATTCTAAGACTCCAGCTTAGTCCTGTTGACCACTTGGAATGTCTGCCCAATTGGTGTCCGGGTGAGTAGGGTTTCAGAGTGTTTTGATTTATCCTTGTGACCGTATTTTCCATTTTTCGACGCTACTTTTAGTCACTTTTCTTCATCATAGTCACGTAGGTCTATCACGTTTTGTTGTTGTGCGCGCCATTTTTATGTACACATGGTATTATGTGCTGGCTGAACGCAACAGTGTGTACATTGTACTTGCTGATAACCGCGGGCTCGCTAAACACTCGTACCCGCACTGGATACTCGCGCGGTGCTGGCGCGTACTTTTTAAAGTTCAATTATATAGTCGTGTTCCCTAACGTGGCGCACATCGAAGCTTACCCAACTTTCCTCGTGTAGTGTTGCCAAACCTCTTTGTTGATAAACCTCAAATTCATGCAGTGAAATACTGGTACTTTTACCTTTTTAATGTTTGCTATTTAACCTCTGTGAACAATTTGGGTTTATAAAATTTAATCCGAAATGCAAAAACGGTCGCGTCCGGAAATTGGGCACACATTGGCGGAGTGTTCCCTAACGTGGCGCACTTGAATAAATCTCGGAAAATTCCAAATTAACATTTAAGAATTTCTGTAAACTTGATAAATTCTGATAAATCATCATTATCTTTACTTACAAACCCAGCCAGATGTTTGTCAGAAAATTATTTTCTTATTTTTCGGGGCATTTTCAAAGGGTTCACTTTGCACTTGAAAATAAAATCGGAAAATCACGCCAAAATAATTTTTTCTTTTAACTTTGTAACGGGTAAATAAACTCGCGATTTATGAACGGGAGTGTTTAGAACTTGATGAAATTTCACTTTCTGCGAAATTTCAGTTAAAATTTTTGCTCTAGCTAGGCGCTACAGGCGAAAAATCAAAGTGCGCCACGTTAGGGGCCGCGCCAGGTTAGGGTACATCAACAATATAAGTAAATGTAATATAATTATATGATAAAATGTAATATGCATATAAATTAATTAGTATTTTGTTTTTATATTGATTTTTATAGGGTTATTTGTTAGCTTGTTATGCTATCCTTGGTGTCCGTTGATACGTAGTGTACTAGAGGGAAGCAAGATAGAGTGGTGTAAGGCATGCTAGTGATAAGTACTGTTGGTCCGAACCATCCCTTACTTAAGGTTAATTTCTTCACCCTTTGGAGGCCCCGGCCCCGTCCCCTATTCCGGCGTGCGAGAGGTGCCGCTACAATTTCAACTCATCTTGTATCGTGCTACCACTGTTAATTGATGAAACAATGAAGCTTGTGTCTCATATTTTGTAATGTGCATCTGTTAAAAGTGGAACATTAGATTGAGATAAAAGTGGCAGAGTGCAAGCCGCGCCCAAACTTTTTTTTCCACTGGTACTTGCTTTGGATGACTTCACATGAACATTTCACACATTTAAATGAATCTAACATACAGTAATATACTAACATTTAAAAAAATCATTTAAAATCCAAAAACCTTACTATATTTGAAGAATAAAGCTCTATTTGGCAAACAGTCATTTTGCAGATTTGTTGATACATGATTTCAGTGGCTGAGCAAAAAACAAAAGCCTACGTGTGGCCTACTTTGGCAAGCATAGCAATTGCACATATAGGCCTAAAGGTTAAAGAAGCAGTGAAAGAAAAGGCAAATATATTGATTCAGAGTTCAAATCCATGCTTATCGTAGAACAATGCAGAAAGAAATAACAAGCAATGCACATGTATCCGTCATGATGCAGCACAGTTTAAAATTATTGACAGATAAACTAGTAATTAAAGATTGGATTATAGCAAAATATATTTCATATTTGTTACATTCGTGTCAGTTGGCAAAAGTTGTATTTCTTCAAAACTCTATTTGCTGATCGAAACGAACTATTTATTTCAACTTTTAATTTCAGACTGGTGCAATTTTGTGTATTAATTTTCCATTGACATCTGTTATATCCAGATGCTCTGATCTGTAATAAGTTCTTATGATTGATAGTCGCAACCGCCGTTTAATGTCCAAATTAATGCAGGTGATACTCACTCCATTTACTGTCAGTTTTAAATGCCAAAGTTATATAAACTATGTCTTATATCTTGGAATACTTTGGTTTGGCAGGAATCGGAAATGGCTTCACTCTTAACCTTGCACGACCTGAAAACCTGTCTCCTCCCACTCTACGGGGTATGTGACGCCGCCCATCTCATCGATGACCTTGACGCTCTGAGCGTTCAGGTCGTATCCCTCCTGTGGCTGCAGAGTGCCTAACTGGTTGCCACAGTAAAAAGTGCCGCATTTTATGACACCTGCATTTACCAAACAGACACAAGGGTTCAAGTCATCATTCTGAAGGGCGCAAACCTGCCAAGTTCCTGTACTTGAATAAACCATGTGCTAACTTTATCGAAACAATTTCTCAAGCTCATGCATCTTGTAAAACTGCTTTTAATTTTGATAGTGGCAGTATCTCTAGATATCCAAATCCTATGAAGGGCGCAAGCTTGCTCAATACCACTGTGGGAGCCACATCGAAACAATTTCTCAACTCATCTTGGAATGCTGTTTTTTTTATCTGTATGTCAGTATCTCTATGGAACTCATATAAGATTCTTTAATACATGGTTCCCATCCCTGAGTTTTCCCTTAGAAATGTCCAAAATTCCATGACAAATATTTTCACTTTGACATGTTCTAACACGACGTCAAGATGTGGTTGCAGCAAAGCAACACTATGCCAAACTGGCGAAAATATTTCCCTGCAGGTTCACTGTAAAATCCCCCGAGTTTCCTCTCTCTTTTTTGGTGTTTCCCCGCCCCCCCCCCAATTCCCCGTAGAGTTTTCCACAAATTGAAAAGGGGAAACTTTTTGCCTGATTCCCAAGTTTCCCTGATTCCCAGTGTGGCTGGTGACCTGGAAACAGTGGCAAAATTCGGTACATTATAGTAATCAGCAAGTCCTACTCACCAACTGTGTCGCTGTTCCGGTTACGCTGCAGTGTCCTGTACCTCACCTGCTCCATCCATCTGTTTAACTCTGGACTAGTACAGGTCACGGGACCAGCATCCCCCTTTCGTCTGAGCTCTGACGCCTTGCAGACGAGAGCGGAGCACTCCTTGCAGTGTATGGTGATTTTGTCGAGATTGGTCATGGGCTGCTGTTCTGCCCCTTCCTCTGCCGTCTGTGTCTTCTCCAATATATCATTCTGTGTATAAAAAAAACCCAATATTTGAAAATGTCACTTGGAGTTATCATTCCGATGGTGTCGACCTTGACCACCTGGGGGTCAGGGGGGCTGTGGCATATATAGACTATAGTACAACTACTGTAACTTCTAACTCACGGACAGAGGTTAAGGGTTCGAATCCAGCTGCTGCATATTTGTTGGGCAGGCTACTGTACCCCTGCTTGCCTCTCTCTCAGCCCAGCCGAGTACAAACGGGTACTGTGCATGTAATGGACTGGTATCTCATCCAGGGGAAATAGAAATGTTCTCAGTCTTTTTATATGCCAAAAGATTTGATTGGTCTGATGGGCCACATTGGAGTCTTTAATGGAAATGCTAAAGATTGTTACTTGATATTTCAATCTTGTGAATTGAATATTGCAAGCTGTCGTCCACATACTCAGTCAAACTGCTTCCCTGTAAAAGATACCCTCATCACACTTATGTAACATGAGTATATTGTACAATGCCCTAAAATGATTTGCACAGAGCCTAAAAACTCCAAGACTTAGCTCACTTGTTTCTCTTGGATCCTGTCGAGTCGCTGGGCCTCATTCATTGCCTCCAGTTCTTTCATGGGCTCCATCTTCTTAACTTTACGACGGTTGTTGCATCCTTTCTTCTCAGATCGATTCTTCAAGGGCCAAGTCATCGATCCCAGATCCTGAGGCGAAAATGACATCCCACATGGATTGCTTCCTTGGGAACCTGTCATCACCGGGGTCACTGGCCAGGGTGGAGTTGGTGAGCCTCCATCCTGGCCAGTGCCTGATTTTGATGATGGGCTTATGGGTCCCACTTGCATGTGTGAATGATTCTCGATGTCATCATCATCTGGACATCCCGGACTTTTACTTGCTTCCATCAATTGGTGTGACTCCTGCAGAGTCATGTTCCCCATCAGCCTGTCGACACTGCTCCCCTGGACCAAATTAACAGAGCTTTCCTTCTCGGCACTTCCGAAGCCAGATCCTGGACTTGAAATGTTAGCAGCAAACTCTTCTCCATGATATGAAGATGCCCGGACTTTGGGATGAGCAGCCACGTGCGAGGATTGCTTATTCTGAAGGCTGGCTGATCTTGGAAGTGACCTCTGCTGTGTTGACTGACCATCTCCAGAATTTGAGATAGGAGAACCATCAACACTGTAGGATCTTCTCTTGGTGTCACTCTGGCCAGCAGGAGATGGCCCACCAGGAATACTGCTTAGAGTCTTAGGACCCTCCTGGTTATCGTGTGGGGAAGTGGGAGTAAAATGACCCGGAGGCTTGAGAGTTCCTTGTTGATGGTCAGGGCCAAATGTCGTCAGTGCACATGTATTGCCACCTGGAAGTGAGTTCTGAGCGGGAGATTGACCATCACCTTAAAAGAAAAAAAATGCTGAATTATTTCCATCAGTTATACACTTATGACGTTAAAGACAAGAACAAGCACCGAAGATAAATTCTCACAGAAAATATGCATTTTAAAAAACAATTCAAACATATTCTTACTTACCAGGATTCATTCTTTGCAGAAACGTCTTCTTCAAGTCATCTCTTTTAAGTTCGGTGAGAAGTGATAGCAAAAATGTGTACTTCGTTTCAGAAATTATCCCTCGGCTTTCAAGAGTCTCGAAAACATCCAAAGCATCAGCAGTTTCTTTCACAGATTTAGACAAATATTCTTTGCATAAATATTTTATCTGTTTAACTTCCTTATCTTCCAAATTATTGGCTATGTAATTGAGGGCTGAATGAAAATATGGTATCCGTACAGTATCATTATAATGACTGGCCGCCATAACTGATTCTTAAAAGTGTGCTTTTTTGGGGGGTATATTTATTGTGAGTGTTCTTTCACCACAAATTATGAATCTATAAAGTTCAGTCGCGTGAATGCAAAAACAAGGACAAGCTCATCACAGTAAAGATCAAAAATTTCCTTCTCGCTCATAACCAAGATGGAAGTGTTCCATAAGCCTTAAAGTACAGTTTCAGGACAGATCTGAAAATAAAAAAAGAAATGAAAAATTATGACAATGATTAAATCCAATGCAAATAATTAGTCAGTAAGACAACTTGATGAAATTCGTCAGAGAAATGATATCAAAATTGGGTTCACATGCTAGGTTCATAACAATACATGATTGTGATTTAATCTTAAAACAAAATGTTCTACTCTCCAGCCTACTATTAGAAGTGCTACGGTTGTTTTCTAGGAATCCAGTACGAGGCACAAATAGCTGAATAGTAACAGGGGAAACTATTTAATATCTAATGGCAAATTGGAGCAAACAAATCGGACAGATTTCCATATACGAAGTTCACTAATTTTCCTCTGTATTGACTAACAAGCCCCCAGATAGCAATTTCATGTCATCAAAGTCAATTTGAGCAGTGAGAAAATACAAGCATTTTCTTAGAGAAAACAGAATTTTTCAGTCCAATCTCATAGGGTTTGTACACAGGGTGTTGAGTGAACTTCGTATATGGAAATCTTTCCATGAAAATAAACTGGCACACGAAACAGCCAGCCCAACACCGCCTCAGTACAGCATCAATCAACTGTGTCAAAAGAAACACCTTGCATGTTTGGTACTAGTCTTTTTCTACACATTTTGCCACAGTCAGCCCCCAGACTAATGAGACAATGAAACTGAAAGAAGAGGTCAGTCTTTTCAAACAGTTGGGCCATAGTTTGACATAATGGGAAAAAAATGTTGCAACCTGACGCCACTTCTGCGATTGTGTACAAAGTCTATGGAGGGTCAAAAAAAAAGTATTCTAACAAAATTGGAAATATTTCTCAGTCCCAGATTCATGTCTTGCAACGAATGACCATCATCGAGATGATATATGAAGAAAAAAAGTGGCGTCAGGTTGCAACATTTTTTTCCACATAATGTAACAGTCTAGTCCTTAGCTCCTTTTGAAATCGCTTGATGAGCTCTCTCTCTCTCTCAAAAAAAAACACCCATGAGCAAAAATTTAGGAAAGGTCTCCTTCAAAAATTGAGTCTTCAAGCTTGGTTGGTCAAACAGTCATGACAGTGAGGACTTACGGTGTTCGCCTCATGAAAGTTGTTGATTTTGTCATGTTTGTTTTGCTTGTTTCTCGTCGATCTTTTACAGTTTTACCTACGCCGTATGCCTAGGCTATGAATATATACAGGTGTTGCCAATTATTTGGTTCCCATTCATTAAGGATTATAATCAATCCAAGACTAGTGGTACAGTTTGGCAAAAAGCGACACTGCACTAGCACTGCACTGCAGTCACATCATCATGTACATGAATTCGAACACTCTGCATCGTTCTGCAGGCTAGCCTCCAGTCTGGGTTAGGGCGATAATTTTCATCTTTACATCATCCTGATCAGCAAAAACTTACCACGTCTGCCCAGTATTTAGTACTTGGAGGGGAGTTGACCACAAGAGATCTAGCTCGGTTAAAAATAAAGAGAAATCCAACTGACTAAGATATCATGGCCGTAAAGCGGAAGTATTAAAAACACCCAATATTCCATGATCTTGGGCAGGCATAACTGGTTCCCCGTTCCTCTATCCATTGTAATTGGCAATACAAATGTTCAAATGTTAGAGCGGGAACCAGTCTTCAGAAAACCTGGTATCCGCTCGCACCGTGTCACTTCAGCCCACAGCGCGCACATCGGGCGTCGTGTGCAACCATAGTACCAGTCAGTGAGAGTATAATGCCCATTGGGGACTCCCCCTTGATCTAAAAATAGGATCATTACTCATTTCTTTGAGCGAGAGGCAGGGCGCCTGCATCAATGGCGAATAACACTGCAAGCACACCACGATAGCACGCCTGGAATTTAGAATAAAATGCGTGACGTCATGAACAAGTCCGTCAAAAAAAAAAGAACGAATGAAAATAATATTTTCGCCTCGCTTTACTGCGCAAGGCCGCTGTGCAACTCCCACAAGTATTCATTAGCCGAGCCGTTAACCCTAGGTACGCCACTGTATCTATAACAATAAAGGACGCTTAAATACAAACAAATCGCAAGCTACCAGCACAAAATGGCAATTATTAATAAATGCATGGAAAAGACAAATAAGAAAATATCAAACTTTTTAGACACGAATTGTTCAATCTCAAAGGCCAACTTCATTCTTATTTCATACAAGTTTGAACAATGTGCGATATTAAAATCTATACAACATTCGTTGACTGATCTTGTTTACAGTTTACAGCTGATGTTGTACATTATATTGAGTTAAATTATGGACACAAAGTGTGTATATATCTTTCTCTAAAATCAAAGAGCCTTGTTAATATAATAATGTTGATTTAATTTTAGATTTACTTTTAACCATAATCTGATCGGTTTGTAACATTCATGGTTTGACAAAAGTCACCTCAACATGTATGTTTAGAAAAAAAGAAGTTACAATAATGGTAGTATTATTTAACCCTGTTTATCAAAGATGGGAATATGCTACTGGTGAGCAGCGCACAGAACAAAAAAAAACAAAAAACACCTGACTTTAACCGTAGAATGATATCAAATATACCTTGGTGAGAACAGACGTGACCCCTAATATAATTGTTGTACTTGATAACTCAACTCTTTATTGATACATTTAGATTTGGAAGCAGTAATGTCACTGTACAGTATGTCCCCTAAAAATGGACTTGTCCGTCTGACATTTTTTGCAATATTTACAAAAGCATGATTAATATAAAGTAAATTTTGAAAACGATGGGTAATTTTGCAGATACTCCATATCCTCCTTTAAAAAAAACACACAATGCATATGTTGGCTTTATCAATAGCAATAAATCCTTGTCCTAAACCCTAGATGCGTTTCATTTAATTTCAGTCACGCATCACTACACAATTGTCAGTTGATTACAACAACATTTTTGAACACTGGCCAAGTACCTTGCCTTAATTAATGAATTTCAGTGCAGTGTAAGCTGTGTAATATGTAATATTCTTCATGATGAGGTTGGGATTGGGATCATCAATTTGTGTGGCTATAAGTCGTCATCGGCAAGGCTTCACGGCAAATGATTCCAATCCCAAACCACATCAGCCCTTTTTCACAACATGCAGAATTTTTCACAGCTTACCTAACACAGCACTGAAATTGATTAAGGCAAGGAACTTGGTATCAGTGTCCAAAAATGTTTTTATGATCGACCATCTGACCATTGTGCAGAGTGAGGCGTGATGGCAATGAAATGAAACTCATGGGGGTAATGGCCACGGATAAAGAGTATCTGCACCAAAAAAAAAATCAAAATTGACTCTAAGGTTTGTACTTATTTCAAAAATAGACGAACACTAAAAACAATTCACAAAGTTGTTTTCGTGTTGCTGAAAGAACAGTACCTTTTTGTGATCCCTGGACAGAACTTCAGAACGGTAGTTGTTTTAAATCCCGTAACTTGAAAAGTACATATTGCTTTGAGTGATTTTTGAACTAAAAGTACTAAAAATCTTAAAGATTATACAAAGACAAATACACTGTTCCCTTTCAGGGCGAAATTTTACGTTAGACAAAAACATTTAAGTATGTCTCAACTTTCCAAACAAATGTCGGGTTTTTTTTTTTTTTTTTTTTACACATTCCGTTTCTCTACATCTGTAAGAGCATGGCTATAGTATCAAAAGCCTTATTGACATATCTGAACTTTAAAGCGATATTAGCTGATTTATTGAAAACAGTAAAAGGGAGGTGACAACATGGGTTTTGCAAATAAAAAAAAGGACTTTTAAACTTTTGCAGTTCATTACAGCTCATTCTAAATTTGGAAGTAAACCATAAAACAGAAACATTGCCGTATAAAAAACACAGAAGTTGAGAAACTCCCCTACTAAAAATATTGTAAAAAAATCCATAAAGTTCTACCGCTAGATTTTAAAAAATCACATTACATTTCACTGAAATATTTCATAAAAACATCTTAACTTCACAGTACGATTTAATCGATTCTGTTTTTGCACTCTAAATAACGCAGGCAAGGTTGCAGACAGTTGATCCTAATAATTATAGAGCAAATTAATTACTTATAGTTTTGCAGCAAGTAGAAAGCCTGCTCATATTAAGTTTTCATGGCAAATAGATTGCGCCTTAATTAAACACTCTTGACTTTTTTTCGTAGTAGTTGTTTTAGTACATCAGTATTATTATCAGTTATAGTATTACTTGTCTTTTATCATGCTACCTATTAACTTATTTCAAGTGAAACAATGTAGCTTGTGTCTCACTCTCAATATTTTTTGACCTGTCAGGAAAAGTACCAGGAACACACTTTCTAATATTAAATTGAGATAAAAGCGGTAGAGTATATGCAAGCCATGCACAAAATATTGTTCCACTGGCAATTTCAGACTTGTTATGCATGATTATATTTGTATATTTCACACTTTTAAATGCAATTAAAATGTATTATGCTAAAAATAATTAATTTATTTTACCAAATGTACATTAAAATACTAAACCTTTGCTTATTTTTTTTCATGAAGATTAAAGCTCTATTTGGTAAATGTCATTCTGCAAATTTGTTGATCCATGATTTTAGTGGCTGAGAAAATAAAAAACCCCTGAGCATACAAATTGCAAATAATAGACCATCAGCCTGGGGGTTTGGTCGGTATCAAATGAGGGGAATAACGCTCGTTGTGATTTTTGGCAAGGTACGCACCCCTGTAGTTGGAAAATATGTGATAGCATTGCAGCGGTGGCAGCATTTTGGGTGTTATCACTTTTTTTTGGAAAAAAATGGCGGCCAAAATATGCTTGTTACCACATATAATTAATCTGGTAACAAGCATATTGGCGGCCATTTTGAAGAAAAAACCATTAAAAGTGATACGACCCAAAAAACTGCCGGCGCTTACACTGCAAAGCTATCACCCATTTTCCAACTCTAGATGTGCATACCTTCCCTAAAATCGCTGTGAGCATTGCTCCTTTCGATCATTTGATACCGGTGGCCCAATTTTTGGACAGAAGCTGATGGCCTATAAGATTAAGATGGCCTTAAAGAAGCCGTAAAAGAAAAGGCAAATAAATTAGCTGCAATGGCCATAAAAACACTGACATAAAGTTACAAAGACAAAGTCAACAAATTTATCAAAGATTTGGAGTTTAAAACTCATGTTTTAACTCTCCAAAAACTACCTGGTAGAACCATTTAATTGATATTTAATTAGCAAAACTATATTTCACAATAGTTACATCGTTTTTCATCGAACGATAAAGCTTCTCGTTGCTCATTCATAAAAACATTATTCGATGAATTGGCATTTTCTTTATTTCATTTAGTTCTTACTGCAAGTTTTCTGAACACTGCCAGCAGGCTAGGACAACTCTATTTTGTCACATAATGCAAAGTTAGCAAAAAAACCAAAAAACTGTATGCTGATAGATGATGAACTAGTAACTCACAAAGTTTGTTTCAACGTTGAATTCAGACTAGTTCACATTATGCATTAACTTTCCACATACTACGGTAACATTTTCAATCTATATCATCTGTAATTGTTACCTTTGACTGCAACCACAGATTGTTCAATGTCTTATGCATTTATTGTAAATCCAAAATGTTGTAAATGCCAAAATTGTACTTGAACTTAAACTAGATCTTATTCAAATGATTTGCCTTGGTATCACTCTGAAAGGCAAATCTGATAACGGGTGTTCCCTTTACCTTCAACCTTGTAAGATCTGAAAACCTGCCTTCTTCCACATTGTGGGGATCTTGACACCGCCCATCTCAAAGTGGATCTCAAAGCTCTGAGCTTTCAGGGCGTATCCGTCTGGAGGTTGCAGTTTCAGGAATTTCTGCATGGTGCCTAACTGGTTGCCACAGTCCAAAGTGCCGCAGCTTATGAGACCTGTGCACATGGACAGGAAACAACAAGGGTCCATAATCATTATTCATTCATATGAAGGATGCAAGTCCTGTACTTGAATATAACACATGATGTGCAAAATTCAAATTGTTCCAGCTCCTCTTAGAGTGCTGTTTTTTAAAAATCTTTTAGGAACAGCATCCCATAGAATTCTACCTGAAGGAATTTTGAAATACAGGGTTCCCAGCACTTTATGAAAACAAAAATTCCCTGAGTTTTCCCTGAAAAAATTCAAACATTCCACAACAAATATTTTCATTTCAACGGTGTTGCTGGGAAGTCAAGAGGTGCATTGCAACAAAGCAACTAAGATACTGATAACACACAGGCAACTTGTTGGCAAGCGATGGCCTCCCTTCTCCCCTTGTAGCCATCCTTTCCTCACCGCATGCCGCAGAGATGCACATGCGGTGAACCATTGTGGCAAAAACCTTTCCTTCAAGGGTCACTGTCATATTTACTGACTTTTGCCTGATTTTTGTGTGTTTCTCCTCAATTTCCAGAGTGGCTGGGAACACTGTAACAGTGGCAAATGAAAACCGAACACTTAATACACGCAGGTCTTACTCACCAACCGATTCGCAGTCTTTGTAACGCATCGGTCTATCGTATCTCATCTCCTTCACCCATTTCTTAAACTCTGGACTGGTACAGGTCACATGACCAGCATTCCCCTTCCGTCTGAGCTCAGACGCCTTGCAGACGAGAGCGGAGCACTCCTTGCAGTGTATGGTGATTCTGTCAAGGCTGGTAATGGGCTGCTGTCGTTCTGCTGCTTCTTCTGCTATCCTTGGGTTCTCCAATATCTCATTCTGGGTAAGGCAAACAATTGGAAAGGTCAATTGGAGCTAACTCGTTCCAGTGGTTTCAAGCACACTACTTATTGAGATCTGGTACTGACCAGAAGTGCTGAAGATTGTGACTAGGTTCCAATCTTGAGAATGACTACTGACAAGCTATTATTCACTTCACTATCGACATCACCAGACAAAAATCAAGCATGAATTTGACTAAAAAATGAGGTATTTAACTACTACTGTGGGCAAGTTCTGCGTAACCATGTTTTGAATTTTTTTTTGGGTACAAACTGACAAAAGAATTGTGAGTGCTCAGCCTCTGAATCTGATTCCTCATGTCTCTGTATCATGTGGGGATAAATCAGTTTCAGGCCATTGAAGCTTCAACCAATTTATCCCCGCTGGACAGTGGGCAAGGCTTGGCTGGAAGCTGACAATTCCAGGTCTTTCCCTAGCTGAGGTCACAGCGATTTAATTGCATGAACTTGCACTTGGTTTGATCTTATTTCAATTTGAGAACTCAGTCACTTCTGCTTGAGAAGTTGTGCTGTTAGGTCTGGCAAAAAAATGTCTTGCAAAAGACTTGATTCTTACCCTTCCTGTATTGTTGGGTGAATCTGTCGACAGATCCAACAAAGGCGAAGGTATTGAGCCCTGACTTTGGCGTGAAGAAGAAATCCCACCTGGTTGTCTGCTCTCTCTCACTGGTTGATTACTGTTCGGGGATTGAGTCAGTAAAGGCCTCTCTGCAAGCTCTCTCTGGTATTCCCACTGATCCAGTTGTCTTTGATCAGCAGCTCTGGCTTCTTCTATGGCATCTTGTTGATCGAACATCTGATTCGTACGGCGGACTTGTTGTTCTGGCGACATTTCTGGGCACCCCTCCAGCCTTGCATGACTATTAATGCCATCAGACAAAGTCAAAGGCCTAGGTGCCGACTGCTGATGACTCTGTTGCGGGGAGGATGTTCCACGTGGTTGTCTTGATTCTCTCACCCATTCCTCTTCGTTGTATGAATCGTTGTATGAACCCCACATCTTACGCGGATGGCTTCTGCTGAGGGCACCCGTCCCCGGAGTCATCCTGGATAGAGACGCTGAACCTCTACCCTGACCAGTGACTGATTGTGAGGATGTGCTTCTTGGTCCCTCTGGCATGGGTGAATCGGTCTCGATATCATCATCTGGAAATCCAGGACTTTTACTTGTTTTTGGCAGCTGCCCTGAATTTTGAAGAGACAAATTTTCCAGCTTCCCCTCAATATCTTTATCAAGTGAAGATGCTCGGACTTTGGAATAAGCAGCCTCATGCGACGATTGCCAAGAAGGGTTATTCTGAAGGCTGGTTGATCTTGCTACTAACCTTTGTTGCGTCGACTGACCATCTCCAGAAGTTGAGATAGGACTATCAACCCCATGGATTCCTCTCGTTGAGTTGCTTGGTGGGCAAGTAGAAGATTGCCCATTGGAAAGACTTCTTAGAGTCTTAAGACCTTCCGATTTAACTTGTGTGGAAGTGGGAGTAAAAAAACTTGGATGCTGGAGAGGTCCTTGTTGATGGACAGGTTCAAGGTTGGGGGGCAAGGTTGGGTGTGGATTGCCAAGAGCATTCTGATCAGGAGAGTTACCACCGCCTTAAAAGAAATGAAATTTGAATAGATATTTATCACAGCGGGCAAGACAAAGCCTCGTCAGTTATTATTTGATACACATGAAAATTGACATGAAAACAGTCATATTTGTTAAAACTTAAAGTTAGAATAAAAAATAAAAATCACATACTTCGCAACCTTTAGAGGACAATATTGAAACAAGATGCTGATTATATTAATACCTAACTCTTTTGACTCAATGTTATCTCTCTTCCGGTCCAACAAAGTCATTAGGTTGAGTTAAGCAGCTTTAGTGACACCTAACCACAGTGAACTTCAAGGTGCACGTTTTTGCACACAAACTATTTAATAGTCCACCTCTCTCTCTACCATTCCAAAATGTCAGATGAACACCAACTCTTTTCAAGCAGTTGAAAGTCATGCATGGCAATGAGGATGGAACAAGGTCAGTAACTCCACATGGATCTTGGAAATGTGTTTTTTGGAAATGTACTTTGACGCTATGGCTTCATATTTTTTTTTTGCTATAGGCTTACACTTGTGAAAAGCCATAGCCAGACAAAAAAAATGCTTTTAGGACACAGCCTTACCTGGCATTATATCCAGCAACTTCTTTTTCAGGTCGATTCGCTGCAGGTTCTCCATCCTTTTGACGAGGAAAGTAAAATTATCCTTTGAGATGATCCCCTTTTGCTCTAGAATTTCGAAGAGTTTTAAAGCATCCTTGATGGCCTCTCTCTGTTTCACTGTCAGGTGATCTATGCACAGAAACTTCAAATGCCAAACTTCATCATCTGTCAATTCTCTTGAGATAAAGAACAGGGTTTCACGAAAGACTGAGACTTCTTGGCTATCCATGGCTGGATGACTATATGCGGCTACCCCGTTTTGATATGGTTACCGTTCGACAGATACCTGAGAAGACATAAGAAAATGAAAGTATTAATACTAATATCATGTCAAAACACATTTCAATACTCACATAATGTGGAATCGATGGGGGATATTTTGCAGGAGAGTAAAAGTTTGTACTGCCAGCCTATGGCAAAAAGGGGGGGGGGGGGACAGCCCCCCATGAAACCTTGTCGCCACCCCCCAGTCGCCCCCCACTGAGATTTTGAGTTTCTAAAAAAATTATCATTGATCTACATGACGCCCCCCCCCCCCCCCATTAAATGTTCCAGCCCCCCAGCCCCCCCCCCCCCCCCCCCCCCCACTGAAAAACTACTGGCTATGCCACTGCATAGCTGGTATGGTCCCAACTCTAGTGTGGGCACGATGACAGTATTGAAACCCTCCGATTCAGGCATCACTCCAATTACGCATTGTCCCAACTCCCAACAATAGTTTAGATGATGATTCAGAATTGCTCCTAGTACTATTAGCACAACAAATTGTAGAAACAGTTTTTAGCATGGACTGATTTTCCAAATACAGGGTTATTTACTGCAATGCAACACTTTATTAAGGCAAAGAATTCTGCTTCCGATATCATGACATTTGAAAATAGGATAGGTAGGTAGGGAATTTTTTTTTGGCACCCAACGACTGTTTGTCGGCAAACTTCGGCTGCCGTTCTACCTCTGCCCTGATGCGAGTGAAGCCTCATAGTAAGTGCAGCAGTAGTGCATCAAACAGTCGTCGGGTGCGCGCTTCAGCGCCATGCTGCGCCGCGCCGTGCAGTTGGCAATACAAGTGTGACTGGTGGTTTGCTGTATGTGCATGGTAAGCAACAGCGCTTTGCAATTTGTTTGTGCACAAATCTAGCTTCGGGCATCATTATGGCCACACGGCTGTCGCTTAAGTCTTTTTTTTCACTGCAATTGTGGCTGAATCTTCAGCGTTGATCGTTTTTTTACTTCAAGGACCTGTGAAGTGGTTATTCCAGGCAAGGTTTGGGTGAATCCCAGTTCAAATTAGTGTGTTACAGGGACAACATTGCACATTTTCGAATTTTTTGGGGGACCTGCGAATGCTGCAGGTCCAAGTGAAAACTTTCTCCAGCCCTACATGACAACCCAATGATGAAATTTAGGGCTGGGTAACTCCAGCCATGGAGGTGGAATTAGACCTCCATGCTCCAGCCAACACAAAACCTGTTCAACCATGGAGGTAAAATTCTACCTCCACAGTTCAACCATCAACCGTGTCTGAAATGCTGGCATAATTCAATTGCTTGACAGTTGGACGACGCCTAGTCCGAGTAACTTGGACCCAACTTATCGCCTTTTTAAACATTTGGACATGGTCTGGCGCCGGCGATAGTGGGGTCCAAGTGTACGCTGGGCATGTAGAAGAAATGGCGTCGTTCAAACATTAAACATGATCAAAAATTTAACGTGTTTAAGATCGCGAGGGGAGCTCTCCGAAATGAACGGAAAATTTCACTTTTTTTCCGGATCGTAAGTAAACTTCAGTACAACCATCTTAATTATCGATGTCTACTAGTTGTACCTCAGGTGGCATATCTAGTAATTTGGAGGCCGTTTTGAAGGTGAAATCTGATGTTTTTTGTTGGAAAATGTTGTTTTTTGGGACAGTGACAGGATGATGTTGTCCAGGTCGCAGTATT